GATAGAAAATAGGCTTAAACCAGGAGAGAGACTTAACACAGAGGAAATACAGGTGCAGCAGCTTGATGACCAGATATAAATATTAAATAGCACAACCACCGTAACACATCCTTCATTTCTTCTTTTATAGATATTTGTTCTAGTTTCCAGGAACTGAACATAAACGTGGGAGGCTGGGTTAGTTAGAGTGCTCTTAGCGTGATACTTAACTTTAGTGAAGATTATTTTGTTTAATATTTATTTAAACTTCTCAAACTTATTCTGTAGGTTAAAATAAACTGTTCGTTTTCTTACTTGAAAGTGGACTTTGCATTTCTAAATCTATTTATAAATTTACATAGCTGCTATTCCTGGCCCCTAGGAACTTTGAAAGAGATTTTGTTTTGCTTTCAAATGCTGTTAGGGTGTGTGTGTGTGTGTGTGTGTGTGTGTGTGTGTGTGTGTGTTTTCCACAACCCGAGTGGTTTTCTATAAACACAGCGAGCACATTCACTCGGAAGGTGAGACAAGACAGATAAAACAGATGGTTAGTTGTGCATCAGCCCATATGACACCAAAAGGTGCTGCTAATTTTGAGAACCATGCAGATGAGACGTCAGCTGAGCAAGTATGTAGCTCAAGCAAGCTGTTTAACTGTAAGCCCCCAGCACTACTCCTGCTAGCTGTGGGCTGGAACTGTTGCTTGGTAACCATTTTGAAATGGACACCTAGTGGCTATTAACTGCCATCTTCCTTTTCTGTTCTATCATTCCATGAAGGGACTTGCAGTTTCTAAATTCAATGTAACATCAAAAGTCGGGGGGTTGCGGGGGAGGCGGGGGGGAGATATCTTGCTTAGACTATCAGTGCCTACTAATGGAAATACCTAAAAGAAAAGCAACATGCCTTCTAACATGCCACTCATGAATAACTACTTTCTTAACATTTCTATTGTTTGAGGTCAATGGAATTTACTTCACAAACCAACATGTTAGTGTTCTTATTTTGGGTTGCTTTACATTTTTAAAGATTATACTTTCTGGAATTTCTCCCAAAATTCAGTAAGTGTGTACTTTAGATATAAAGGAAATAAAAGCTAAATTTATACTGTTTAGCTCATTTAAATAAGTCTTTTTGTGAGGATACAAATTATGCTATTGAATAATTATCATTCCATGGAAAGGCATAATCTTTTTGGGAGGAAAAGTCCACATTTTGGGGGGGCATATCTCTCATTGGCTAGAATTAGGTGCTTAAGAAAGTTAAGTAACCTCATTGGGGGGAGGGGTAATTGAAGAATTGGTGGAGGGGTAAAAGGCAGTGAGGAACAGATATAAATAAATTCTATATTAGTTGGGATTAGATTCATTCGTGACAGAAAATTCAAAATAAGAGTGAGGTAAGTCCAGCCAGTGTTGCTCAGTGGTTGAACAGTGACCTATGAACCAGGACGTCAGGTTTGAATCCCAGTCGGCACATTTCTGGGCTGCAGGGTTGATTCCTAGTAGGGGGCGTGCAGGAGGCAGCCAATTGATGATTCCCTCTCATCATAGATGTTTCTATCTCTCTCTTCCTCTCTCTGAAATAAAAGAATTTTATTCTTTTAATAAAAGAGTGGTTAAGGTAGTAGTTTCTTTTTCTTTTCATGCAAATTCAACTGGTGTAGTGGCTTCACAATCATAAGAAGACAGGCAGCTCCACCCACGCAGAGCGTCCTATCTACCCAGCAGGAAGGAGGAAAGTGAGAAGGACACACCCTCTGTTTAAGGACACTTCCTGGAAGTATCACATCTCACTTCCCCCTAGAGCAGTGTCTCTGTGCAGTTTCTTCTGCCTGTAGTCTGACAGACTCCACTCTGTTCCAGTTTAGGTCAACAATTTCCCCAGGGAGGCTGTTTCATGCATTTGTAATTCACATAGTTTTGTCACATTCTGGGATCCCTCAACCTCCTAAATGATTTCTAAATTTGTACACATTAGGCTCACTCATTATGCTACAACATTCTATGGGTTTTGTCACATATTGTTTAAAACATCAACAAATAGCTGCAGCGATCCTGAGAAAGAACAAAGTAGGTGGGATCTCAATACCAGATATCAAGCTGTATTACAAAGCCATTGTTCTCAAAACTGCCTGGTACTGTCACAAGAACAGACATATAGATCAATGGAATAGAATAGAGAGCCCAGATATCGACCCGAACCAATATGCTCAATTAATATTTGACAAAGAAGGCAAGAACATACAATGGAGTCAAGATAGTCTCCTCAATAAATGGTGTTGGGAAAATTGGACATATACATGCAAAAAAATGATAC